GGAAAGAAAAAATTTCCCAATGAAAATAATTGAAGGCTGGAAGGGTTAAGCCTGAGCGGGGCTTCTACCGGTTCTTGCCATAGACCTCACGCTTTTTTTGGCTGCTTGAGGTAAGCATACGAAAGAAATTGAAACAGGGGTCCAATAAAGACGACGGCGGTAGAAGAACTTTGAACACGCCTTACATACAACCTCGTCCTGAAGACAACGATTGTTTAGAGTCAATGGGTAAATAAAAGTTGCATTCAAATTTCCCAAAATTTGCGGATATAGATAAAGCATGAAGCAGTTCCTAGACAGAGCATTTTAATGAGCATTTTATCCACCTGTTTCTGAATGTTCCTCAATGCAGTAGACAAAGTTAGTCGATAGATTTTCCGAAAACGAATGTTTAAAGTGGTTATATTATATTATTACCTGTGGAGGGTTGATTATTGATGTATTATGTTACCTTATGTGGGACTGGCAGATCACTATTCACCGGGTAAAACCTACCTGGACCGCCTGAAACCTAAAAGCGACTACGGCTAAGTGTGAGCAAAACCATAAACGCTCAAATTGCAATAAGTCTTGGACTGATTACCTACCTGCTTCACATGGTAATAGCCAGGGGAGCTCGGATGACGGCCGTTCGGTGGTTCTGAAGGAAATCTTTCAAACTCATTTTCGAGAAGAACGTAAGAAATGTGAGGTTAGTCAACTAAAACCCTACTCTCTACCCAATGTATTACTCAGCCAAAAGCATATCGAATAATAATTGAGATGTTAAAAATAAAATTCCTACTGTAGGCACTTCAGAGCGGCGTAAGGCCGGTGTCAGACTTTGCGAATCCAACGATTCGCTAGCGAATCGCGGGGTACGAGCGTTGCACCAGCGGTTCGAACGATGCGCCAGCGGATCGAACGATGTACCAGCGACTCGACACTGTTTGAAAGTGGCGGGACTCCCTCTCGTTTGCACGTTGACTCTCGCCACTTTCCCGAGCTCTCATGCCTCTCGCTCTTTCATGCCCTCGAATCCGGGAAAGTGGCGAGTGCAAACGAGAGGGAGTACAGCCACTTTCAAACATGTCGAGTCGCTGGTACATCGTTCGAACCGCTGGTGCGACGTTCATATCGCGATTCGCCAGCGAATCGCTGGATTCGCAAGGTCTGACACAGGCCTGGTCGAAATAAAAATATTGGATAAAAAATGTGTTATAGAAATGGAAAACATTAGAAAACAACACGTATGACATACACACCATGCCCGTTAGTCAGCTGCGACGATGTCGGTTCTATGGCCGATTTGGCTGGTGAGACAGGCGTCTGCTGCTGCTGCTGTTGCTCGTCGCGTGATCCATTACTGGACGTGCGTAGACCGATATGGTTAGTGGGTAGTGAGCCGCGTTTCGTTTCTAGTGGGTTAGTGGCAGCGACACGGACGTCGGCGGTCGTTTGATTGCGATTCGGTTTCACAGGTGCTTCTACGGAAGAACTGCCACCGTGACCAACACCACCACCGCCGCCAGCGCCGCGACGCGGTAACGTCACCCAACCAATTTGAGCACTTCGGGTCAGCTCACTTAAGTGTGGTGAATCCACTGATGACGCGGCAGCACCCATCGATTGACTGTTGTCCCAGTCGTAAATGGACCTGGAATATTTCTAGTGACCAGAAAGTAACATAAATGTAAACAATCATGTAAATATAAGCAGATAAATAAGAAATCAGCACAAGCAAAAACATTACCTCCAAATGCACATACTACCGCTCTCTCAAAATACATTCGAAAAACGAATTGGATCCCGTTCGAACAATGCCAGTTTTATACAAGTTCCTCTAGGTATGGGTCGGGAACAGGTGGCCGAACAAACCCTTTCCATTCGATCTTGTGAGTGGGTGCGCAACCACCGAGATGGATCCACGTATGCGACCGAAAACGTGCGGTGTATATAGCGCCTCAGCCCACTATCTGAGCATCATCGCCTAGCTTACCCTATAGAATGCCCACTCGACATTGTTGCGGGTGAGCATCCCCGCAAGATCACACACAGTTTTCATACAGTTTAGCCTTACCCTCAGGTTTCACACCTTTCCTCAAAACAAATTCGTCAGACCGAAGCGAACACAGCGACTGTGGCCCATTCGCTGCGTTTAAGGAGGAAGCACGTCCATTTATTGACTTTGCTCATGGTTTCTTTCTGGTTTCTCTTCGGCTGGAGCTACAGCTCACATCTCGCCTTCATTTTCAAGCGCCATAGAACCCCAACTGAATCCTGACGCTTGCCCTTAAGACTAGGAAGGAGCGTTGAATAACCAAATTTTCTTTTTTGTTCACTCGAAGACATTTGAGTGACACTGTACTATGTATGGCAATGCTGAACTGAACCCCGTGCCTCAGATGAGTTATGGCGTGTAGGTTTAGGTGACAGTAAGTTTTTACAACGTTAAGTCGCTGAACTTCACTCCACTGAAATTTGTTACTTCGAAATTTCCATTGAGCGAGCGGAACACACGATAGACCCAAACGTACCAAAATCAGCGTGGAGACCCCAGAAATATTAGCCACAGACCTCATTATCAGCATGAGAACAGGGTCAACCGTCGCGCTGGCACTTTTCCAAAAAATGTCGTCCCCTCCCATTAGGAGGTCACGATACGACCTTCCAACACTACCATCAACACCTTGGGGGGGGGGGGGGCTTACAACTATCCCCCCCACACGCTCACTTACTTATTGCCTTTTCTTAAAGCAACAGTCCAGGCAGGGTTTCAACCATTTGGTTTTCAAGTGGTGGAAACATGCCTCAGCCTGATTGGAGTTCATGGGAAATGTCACAAACTTCAAAACTTACCTCTGAAAGGCGTTGGAAGCAGTCGAAATCCTTCAAGAGGGGGCGGATCCACCGATCCGTGGTGGGGCCGCCTCCAAGCAGCTGTGCAGAGCGCTTGCTCGACTAGCGGTCGTTGCGGGACCGCCGCGCTGTATGAGGTCGATTCCATAAGAACGCAATTGAAGCGCTTCAATTTCGATTGCTGGCAAATAGTTATGTATTTGCAAGCATGCATGGCTATTTGCCAGCAGTCAATTGGAGCGCATGTACTACGGGCAGGTTCGGACAACTCGTCCAACACACGTCTCCCTAAACGGCAGGGGGAGTCCCTGTCTAAGCCCCTGCCCGACGTTTTTTTCTACTTTTTCTTTCTCCATTGACCAACTTCTCACCTGCAACGTCATTATAGGTGGTCCTTACCCGCGAATTCGTTCCTGGATTGTTGCTTTAAGGAATTGAAATCACCCGAAACAGCCCACCTTCTGCACTCTTTCAGCAAACCTTGTGATTTTCCCAACACACTTTTTGAAGTTTTCACCAAAATTTCGAGAAACACATCGAAACCAATACACTTCTCTACAACCAAGACAATTTAGACTTCCAAAAATACCATGACATCCCCCCTTTCGTTACGGATGGGCGACCCTACATGAGAGAGCGGGACAGAATTTATCAAAGTACAAAAAGGACTGTTCGAATTTCTCCTCACCTGACCATCTGTGGTGGAGGAGCTCCCCTGGTCACACTTTCGTCTCTGCTACGCATTGAGTAGTCCGCGTAATCACCTTTCAGCGATTCCATATCCGAATCATAGTTGGCACCGCGCGATGACAACGGGAATAACAACACCTGGGATAGGCACAATCTCGAAACTCCATTCAAGGGAACAGCTTCATGGCTAAATGAACTCACGTCTTCCAACGGCAAATTCGGCGGGAACTCCGGCATCCACAGCCGCCGTTGCTGCAAGTGAATGACCAAATCTCGCAAGGCATCAAACCATGCTTCCTCGTTAGTCGCGTCTACGGTCGCTGAAACATTTCAGAGATATGGAATTGTGAAGTATTCTTCGAAGGACTTGAAGGTCATTCGTGTGGCAGTGGCAAATGGCTAATATGTATTACTATGACTAACCAGACAGCAGATGAGCATGATGCTTCTTGATTTGAGTTGCTTGTTCGGCCAATTTTTTCGATGAGGCATGTGGTGCATTCAACTGCAAAGAAATTTCAATCAATTTATAAAACCTATTGCTGACGATAATCAATCTGAGGCTAGCATTATCAACATTGTGCACGTTTGCAAGAAGACAATTAAAGACAGATGGATCACATTCAGGTTTTCCACTGGTTCAAAACAGCCTCAAAAGCGGAGTTTACGATAAAGGGGTAGCCCATTAGAAATCAGGTAGAGGTGGTCAGTGGTGGAGGGATCGAGAAAAAAAAACCATGCGAAACGATTCAGGCCAAACAATGCTACTCTCCTTGCTCTCCACTATCCTCGTCGATGCGATTTGCATTGGAGTTGTTGTCTTCAATGCTAACACTCTTTCTGCTGAACTGCTGAAGTCAGACGGGTGAGAGAAGGGCGTGACGCGGCGCGAGCGGTACAGGCATGGCCCTGCTAGCCCAGTGGGGGCATGCTCTTCGCTGCGAAACACGCGTCATACCGCCCCCTCGAACGGTCCACCTACCTCCTGACTATCTATACTTCCCCTTCTTTGACCTCCTACTTTACCGTAGAATACTCTTTGAAATTCACGCTCCCACCGAGGCATCACCAGGTCCCACTACCAAACCTCTCGTAATCGCTTCCTTTAAGCTGATTTAAACCATTGAATTTCTCACCTTCTTTCGAATCTCTCGAATCCGTGACCGTCCGTCAACGTCAATCAAAACCACAATCGGAGCGTATTGGGCAAGCTGGAGTCGCTCCACCTGTAGAATTTGATTCAACATCATCCTCGTATGAATTTTCGGTTCATAAATGAACCGTGAAAAACTTTCTTTCCTTCCAACCATTAAACAGAATCTTCACAAAAGCATAACTGTATCGATTCCAATTTCAGTCAGAATTACATCACATAACCTGTGCCTTAAAGGCAGTGGTCACGATGGTTAGGAGAGCGCTGCGAATCACCCCTCATAATTATACTACAAAACTAACCGACTCTAAGCTAATGTCCAATACACAGTGCTTTCCAGATGCAATCACACTATCCAAAGCGGCTAGACGGATAACACCACCAGCTCCACCAGTTCCTCCTCCGCCACAGTAATCACTTGGTGATGGCTCAGCGAAACGAGTCGGAAATTGAGACAGTAGATATGATCTGGCGACGTCTGCTAATGGTCCGAAGAGAACCACTGGCCTAAAAGTTGAGTGGTGAAATTGATAGGGCACTTTTGATGCGCTTAATAGTTAATGTTGGTAATTACCTGTGAAAGCTCGGCGTGTTAAGCGCCACTCTCTCATAAGCCGGCGGCGGAACACTCGAAGACAGCTCAGTCGGATCGGCCAGCACATTCTTCGGCAACGATTTTGTCCGACGAGATTCCAATTTACGCCGGAGTAGAGTTCCCCCTCGCCCTTTTGTCTCCACCAACCGACGTTGCTCTCGTGCTAATGACTCTGCCGTTGCCTGAACACCAGCTGCACTATAGCTCCTTCAATATCCTTTACCAACTAGTTAAAGAAGAGAAGAATAGGGAAAAGCAAACTTCGTCAGGCAACTCACTTGGTTCGGAATCACTCCCTTAGGTGGTTCACCTTTGTTGGCATTGGCCGAGTAGACTCTGGAAGCTTGCCAAAGGCCGACAGTACCGCCAAAGAGTGTGTCGGTGACATGGAAGATGTCACCTTCGCTAACCGACAGCTCCAGTGGACTCGATTTCTTCTCTTTCGTGAAGTGCGACCTAAAATTAGCAGAGATTCAGGATACAGCTTTACAACATTGGATTTATTTGGGATTACGGGCATCGCAAGGGGTTTGAAGGGGTTTGAATGATTGGTTACCCACAGCTGCTCGCACAATTGCTCACATGAGCCATTGAGCATGATTCCCTTTGATAAATTAACATATTTACCGAAAAATTCTGTCCCAAAAAAGGAAGCCCTGAGGTTAGCAGGTACGAGCAAGAAATGAGCTAACAGCTCGAATCGCACCCCATCACCTCGGCGAAATCGGGAAAAGACGAACACATGGCGCATCTCATTATGACATACTAACATATTTGGAGAATCATTTGAATTTATAAAGAGTTCGCCTATTTTTCTAATCATTTTCAATAGAGCAGCACTTAACTAGGCAAAGATGGATATTGATCGAATCCCAATGCCAACTAAATTAACAGTTTTTGTTTGTTAACTGCTGTTTTGGCCGCAGTTCGCCATGCGAATGTTTCACAAGAATGCTGGGTTGTAAGTTAACAGATTTTTTATTTCTAAAATAATCGATATAAAGTCTAAAAAATAAAAATTCAGGACTTCTCACTTCTCTTTTGGCTTAGGAGCTGCTAAAATCTCGTGGGAAACGAAAGCTGTTGTTTTCTAAAGTCCCCCTCCCCAAAAACAATCGGTCCCCGTTGGACATGGCCAGCGCTGCTGGCTGCAGTATGACCTTGTCATTATTCAACTTGATAAACTACCCCCGTTTACACCTTCACTGAAGCACTTTAAGTGCAATTCCTCAGCAAAGAATAGCTCCCAAACCCTACACTCCTCCTGGAAACACTTGTATTTGGAGAAAATTGATTGCAAAAATCTAACCTTATGTAAAAATTATCTCCCAATTGACTGTTACGGACATGCTCGAAGTCCTGTCTGGCGTGTTCCAATCGTAATGAGACGTGATCGTCGAGAGCCAAAAGCAGTTGAACTGCCGATTCTCGGGTCACACCACGCATCGATCGACCATTCACCTGAAATGGATGGATATCGATTGATATCGGAATTCTTTGAAAGATCCGAATCACATTGCCATCACCAGCACGGCGTTCAACCAGGACAGACCACAACGGTGAAAATAATTCCGCAACATTTCCCTGTTTCTTCCTCCTCAACTAGGTAGAGTCAGGACAGAAGGCGCAGCTATGAAACATGGTTACCACGCGAGCATGATGGCTCATTTTTGCTGCGACCCGTAGCGCACATTTTGCGCGCACGACGTCGCAACCGCCGCATTTGGTATGTCCTGACCCACCCCCAGACCCTCTCCTTTCCCCTTTCTCCAAATGAATTTTTTTCCTGAACCCCCAGGAACGATTTTGGTGTCTTTGCCTTAGCTTATGACTACGATACCAGAGTCAACACTCGCTTTCGGCACCAGAGACTTCAACTAACCGAATGATTTCTCATGGAAATATTGTTGAATTATCACTGCCACTACAAGAATCACGTAACAACCTCTTAGCCCCTGCAGTACATTTTTTCAAAAAAAAAAACCTACTTCAACGATACGATCCCCACAACAAACACCATGCAGAGCCGCCGGTGAATCGGCCGCCACCGCCGAAACAAAAATGCCGACTTCGTTCCCACCGATTACGCGAATTCCAACGCTTCCGCCGACCTGTAAAAAATAATGAGATTTCTGAACCAAGGATTCAATCTTGGCAGTACTGACTACTGAAAGTCCTATTAAAACGCAAAAATAAATATTCGGTCCCTGATATCACAGATGGCGCATTTACGCAGGGCTAGGGCTAGGGCATCATAAACACCACGCACACGACCGCCTAACTTAAAGGCAAAGTTCGGTCTCAGACCCACTTAATGAGCC